AGGGAAATGTCGAATCGACGTATGAATGAAAATGGATTTTGCTTATAGATGTCGTCGATGTTTATCTCAATGCTGAATTGAAGGCCATATATTTCTTTTCATGTAGAGGTATTTGAACGAATTCTGCTTCATATTGTTGGAGGATTTGATCTCCAAAACCAAAAATATATTGTTAATCAGAAACTCAAGCATCTTATACTTTTTACTATCAATATGAAATACATGTATATGGAGATAACGAACGGTATTCAAGCTATAAAATGTCCATTCAGGAGCAGAACACACACGGACATTTAAATCACCAGAAGTTGAATCAGGTGTCATCGAGGAGTGAGCATTCCTTGCCGACAGGTTACGTCGCCATGCGTTCCTTTTCATCAAGGGGAAATAACGAGAAATTTGTGCCATTTAACAACTGTAATAAACTTACAATACCGCGGGAAGAAATGGTACTTTTTCAATAAAGCTTACAAAAGTTTTTTATTCATCAGAAGTAAATTTAGGAAATAAATCTAGGAGCAGTATTAGATCAGCATTTTACAACTGTACAGTGTTGATGGAGAAAGATTTATGATTAAAATGGTGTTTGATTGAAAGAAAAATATCAAACAGACATGGTAATATAGGGTGCAATGAAACACATGCGATAACGAAGAATATACAAGATCAAAAGTCCATAAAAAATACAAAACAGGAGCAGAGCAAACACAGACCTCCAAGACATCAGAAGTGGAATCAGGAGCCATGGAAGAGGGAGCATCCCCTGACGACCCGTTACACCCGCCGTGTGCTCCTTGTCATGATTGGAAAATATTGGAAAAATCCGTCGTCAATTCAGTGTATAAATTATGGACTAACAATTAGTATGAAAAACGTCGGTCACCATATGACTTAATCATAAGTTGTATTTACTGACAAGGTCATTGTATTGACCATAGAACTTACAAATGATGACTTTAAACGGGACTGCTGATATTCTTGTTTCATCAACTTCGTTTTAGAAATTGTTCAAATTAAGCATGCTCTTGCGTATCGAATCAACTGAGATACATAAAACTCTGTATGCAGGTGATGAAGGTATATTGCTGCATAAGTAAGGAAAGTGCAATACATCATCTTGTATTGATATTAGATACAAGCAAAACAAAATAAATGTTATACATAATTTAATTTGCTGATTGAAGTACAAAAATATGTTAGATATATTTACAAATGAGATATGACTTGTAGCTGAAAAATAATGAAAAAATTAAAATGATTACTTTTTGCATATCTCTGTCTTATCAAATTTCAAAATTGCACAGACAAATCTTATAAAGTAGTAATTTTATTTGCATTCCAAGTGGAAAAATAAAGAAAAGGAATCATAATGGCATCATCACATATTTAGAAAAAAAAAAAGAAAAAGAAAAAAAAGACGAAAGTTTTGCCCTAAATATTAAAAAAAAAAGACGATCGAATTGGTTTTCAATAATTATATAATTCAAATATATTAATTGGTTATATGATATAATATAAGAGTTTTAAACTTAATTAAATGTATTTTTGTTCAACGAATCAATTTAAATTCATTTTGTGCTTTTTATTAAACATATAATACCAATCAAATAGAATGCGAAAAGGGAAGGAAAATATAATTACCAACGACGATATAATAAATGATAGAATGAAACGAAAAGAGCTGCAAAGAACAATGCGCACTGACTGGCAGAAATAACAAGGAAAGTTAACTATTCACTGTAGGAAAGCGGCTGACCGTAGTATATATTACGGTCATCAAAACATGTCGGCCGATGTCACCGGTTAGAATTTTTCAGTCAAGATTTTAAACATTTGCCAGACTATCTGTGTTAATTCTTGCCTTTAAATGTACACTAATGAAAACTTGCTATTGGTTATTATAACTTACTTGAATTTAAAGAAATAAAGCTGTAGTACAACCTCAAAGTTTTTGACTATGATGACCGTAATAACCACACAGATGACGACCGTAATATAATCATAGAGATGACCGTAGTATATGTACAAAATCAATTGAGACGAAAATATCTTATTCAATATCAGTACTAGATGTTCAATACAGATTACATTATACAAGATCTTATACTATTCAGATTGGAGGTCATAAAAAAGAACTGTAAAGTTTTAAATATGATTGATTTAATACTTATTGATAAGAGAAGCCACGGTTGATTTAGAATGTTTAAACAAAGTATTTATGAAAAAATCTTGAAAAAAAAGTAACAATTGCAATTTACCTTATTTTATTTTTTTCTGTATTTTTATAAACATAATTTATATCAAAATAATTATTTATTATTGCGACTATCTAGTTTATTTTGCATTCTTCAGGAATACTATTAATGTTGCGACCATCACTACTTTGTAAGTCCTAGTCCTACTCTGAAAAAAAAGACAAACCTCGCCCTTCAAACAGGTTTGCAACCGTTACCAAATGATAGCAACTCATCATTATATTTCATGTTATAAACCGTCCTTTGTTTATAAAACTGGCGGATATCAAGCAACAAGTGGAGTGCATTATTGCCATGTTTTGATGTTTTTCATTAATGCACAAAAGTCTTCCAAACGACCAATTTCTTCCATTTTCCTGATAACATCAGAAAGAACCCCGTAAATTTCACTGCTTTCTGTGTCCAATCTCACATTGCTGCTGCGTCGGAAGCAATTTGAAAGTGGGGGTGGGGGGCTGAATGTAATTAATTTTTTTTTACCATCAAAAAAAAAACCCTGACAAGCAAAAAAAAAAAAAAAAAAGATGACCATTTCCCAAAAGGCGAAAAACCTATTTCGTGGGGAGGGGGAGGTCGAACTTTTGTACCTAATTTTTTTTCCAATCAACAAAACTTATCCCATCTTTAACCTATATGGGTTACCCATCTTTAACCTATACGGCGAGGTGTCTGTGGAAAGTGGGGGGGGGGGGGGCTAAACGAGGTTCAATGTCTATACTAAGTATATATTTGGAAAAAAAGTAGGGGGGGCTAAGCCTTTAAGTTCAGATAAGTATATAGGAAACTGAATAGATTTATCTATAGTTTTACCAGTTTCCAAATTACGTTTGCTGAATTTTTTCGTACAACATAAAGAAAATGTGCTTAAATGGGTTTTGATACTGTTTGTTAATTTTTAAAAGTAATACCATATACAATCACAAGTACAACTAGAGAGTCTACTATTGCTAGCAATAGCGTATGTCGCCCCGAACTGTTCCTCTATTTCCATGGCAACTATTGATAATTTTGGACAAGAATATCATTTTTTGTATCACAAAAACAATTCCTATCAGCTAAGCTTGGACAACCATCAATTCGTATCAGTCCTTTCAGTACTTTGATTTAAAGGTCAAAGTTAAAGAATTTTCACCTTCCTCTAGTTTCCATGGCAATAATCGATTATTTGAGAATTTTGAATGCGAATCGCACAACTACAATTACTAATCACTAAAATGAAAAAGTTTCATGACGAATGTTCAAGGGACCACAGAGAACACTTGCAGACAAAATTCGTCGCTTTTTGTAGATTTCCAAGGCAATGGAAGCCATTTTGAAACTGAATGACCACCTGGCACAACTACAACCAGTGATCGTCCTATGAGAAAAGTTACAGGAAGATTGTCCCAGCCATGTTCGAGAAACAGCCCGGACAACAAAAACATGCGTACTATCGCAAGATGTCGTCCCCGACTTCGTTCGGGACGACACAATTAAGCACCAATATAAAATTGAGTGAAACTGGTGCAATGATGGTAAAGATATTAACATTCCAAGGACTTCTTTCTCAATGGTCATTTTGCCAATGTTTTGTGGTTTTTAGTGGGACCAGTTTTTTAAATTTGATAATTAATGATCACAATTAAAAGGATCCATATTATATAAAACACGTGCCGCAAAGTACAAAATTGGTTTTCATCGGTGATATTTATTTTCTTTCTACAGTTGTTGAGAAGACTCATTTGTTGTAATAATTTGAAAATATCATACCATTCTATAAAATAGTTTTAAAATAAATACATTTATCAAAGTGAACACTTGGACGTTTTGTTAAGTGTGTGGCACCTCAATTTCACAAAAATGAGCCAAACGCAGTTTCACAGTCGATAAACTAAGTTTTTCGACTGTAAACTATAGTTTACAAACCTGGACCTATAGTTTTCATCTGTAAAACGATATTTAACGGTTGTTGACTTGTTAACAGTTGTTTACGAATGGTAATCTAATTGAGTTTATCTGTCTTTAATAAAGCGTTTATATGAGATTTTGTTGATAAACATAGATTCATGTTTGTAAACTATAATTTACAATCGTAAACTATAGTTAAGAGTTGTTAATCATAGTTTCACAAATCGTGAAACTGTATCAGATCGTTAACTATAGTTAAGAATTGTAAACCATAGTTTACAAATCATGAAACTGTATTGTTCAGATGATCAATGTTTTTGAATCCCAAATGATTGTTTTCAGTGTTAAGAAGAGTTACGGTTGTGAAACATAGATAATCGCGTTAATTATGGTTAACAGATGTAAAATATAGATTATAACGCTGTTAACTATAGTTTAAAGTCCATAAACTATAGTTTACAAGCGATAAACCTAGTTTATCGACTGTGAAACTATGCTTAGCTCAAAAGAGAACACATTAACTTATAATTTTATATATATTACGGTCATCCTACTTCATTGGGAAAATCTATATTACGGTCATCTTAATATTTTGTTACGGTCATCATTGTCAAAAACTTTGAGGTCGTACTACAGCTATATTTCTTTAAATTCAAGTAAGTTATAATAACCATTAGCAAGTTCTCATAAGGTTACATTTAAATTTGGCAAGAATTAACACAAATAACCTAGAAAATGTTTAAAATCTTGACTGAAAAATTCTAACCGGTGACCTCGGCCGACATGTTTTGATGACCGTAGTATATACTACGGTCAGCCGCTTTCCCACAGTGACTATTGAGATAATCTGTTGAATGGATTTACGAAGCTTAATAATTTTTTTTTCTTGTTTCTTTTCAAATTTAATACAAAAGGATTAACATTTTAATAATTTTGTAGAAATAATGACTTTGCTTGTTTTAAATTTGAATCGAAATAATAAACTCATCGAATTTCACTTCAATGAAATATTCTCAACTCCCTATATTTACCGTGCTATCTTCTAGAAAATTATAATTTCCCATTAACTTAAATCCTACGTTTCAAAGCATGCGAAAGAAATCATATGTATTTGACAAAACAAGTATATTATGCATGACAATAATACAATATGTTGCTGATTCTTTTCATGTTTTCAACATCAGTACACGAAAAAGTACGTTGTAAAGACAAAATAAATTCTATAAATCTAAAGCTATAGATACAATAATTGTAGAATTGAAAAATTAATACATATTTATGATGGAGCACTAGATACTGCACTTAGAAAAAAAAAATAAAAGATAGAAATTTTCACTAACAAGTACATACATGTATGTATACTAACGCATAAAATTTTGTTGGTATCGTTCAATATTACACAGTTTTTGATCATTGGTAATTACAACATTTAATGAATGTACAAATTAATAAATAAAATAAAATCAATCAAAAAGCATAGATTATTAAGACAAAATGCATATGTAAAGAATGGAATCTTTTGAAAAAAGTACTTTCATTAATGCTCATATATGATAGAAAATATATGTAGCTATTTCTAAAATAAAATATGCACAATAAAATCAAAATGAGAATTATCTTTTACAAAATATAAAATTCGTTCATAAAATAGTTTTTGTTTATATACTCCTCATTCACACCGGTGTAGCACAACGTATGATGATTTTCCCTACATATTCGCATATATAGCTGAAAATAAAGAAAAGATAATGCCAATTGATATAAAGCTTACAATTAAAAGTAACCTCCCCGGTAATTACATATGTAGTTCTAAATCGGCAAAATAACTTGTAATTACTGGGATTTAACCACTTGAGGTTAAATATATAATTACACCGTATTTCACTTATAAATACGAGGGTCATTAAAAAAATACGTAGACAATGTTCCTCATCGTCATATTATTATTACAATATTATAGATAACACATTTTCGTAAACACAAAGATTTATTTTTTCTAAGTGTGAAGTTTCATTCCATTAGATTAAAAGGAATCCATGCTAGTCATTTTTAAAGCAACGTGTATTGTTACTACGGAGCTCATTAAACAAACATTGTAACGTCAAAAACAACGTCTCAAATTTACTAGATGCCTTTTAATATTATACACGGTTTGTAGCGTCTTTTCCTTTCATAAAAATTTATCCATAACACTTGATACATAGTTTGCTAAAAATGTGCCAATAGCTTGAACTTGATTGTCATTTTTTGTCCCCCGCTTGAAAAGTGGGGGATATTAATTTGGGTTTGTCCGTCCGTCCGTCCGTCCGTCCGTCCGTCCGTCTGTCCGTCCGTCCGTCCGTCTTTCTGTCTGTCTGTAACGCTTTCGTTTCCACACGATATCCCGAGAACCATTTGAGCTTTTGCAATGAAATTTAGCATAGCAACTCCCTATGGACTAAAGAAGACCCCTATTGATTTTGAGGTCAAAAGGTCAAAGGTCAAGGTCATAAATAAGCAAATTCTCTCTGTTAAAACACTTTCGTTTCCACACGATATCTCTAGAACCATTTGAGCTATTGCAATGAATTTTTACATACTAACTCCCTGTGGCCTAAAGAAGACCCCTATTGATTTTGAGGTCAAAAGGTCAAAGTTCAAGGTCGTAAATTTATACATTCTGTCTGTGTGTAACACTATCATTTCCGGGCGATATTTCAAGAAGATTTTGAGCTTATGCAATGTAATTTTATACCAAAACTCCCTAGGACGTCTCTCGCCCCTCTCAAAGTGCCCCGCCCCGTTTGTTTTATTAGTATTTATAGTATTACATGTCGCTATTTTTAGCGCAGGGGCATGAGGAGAGTTATTGCGTATAAAACAGGTTCTCGGCGGACTTTATGTTCTTATTACATCTATTAGCACTGTTTAATAAAGGCTAAATAAATCAAACACCATGGATTGTGTAAAATTTTGAGAATACCGAACATGAAAACATGAATATATACATGTATGTGACTTTAGTTCTGCATATACTTCCCTCCGTGTAAAGCGACTCCGTGGTCTAGTGGTTATGTCTCTCGCTTCGAATGTGAGAGGTCCCGGGATCGAATCTCGGTCGAACTTGTCTTTTTTTTTCTTTTTTTTTTAAATACTTTTTTTTTTACTAAATGATAGTATTCAGCATTTGTAATGAAAAATTTATGAGGTTATAAAATCAACATTACAGTGTGATAAATATTCCATATAAAAAAATCTTCTATACACATAATAAAGAATAAGCAATCAAATCTTTATATGCATATTGACATACATGTATTTTATTTCCTTCAGTATACATGTATACTTTTAATAATTCTACAAATTCAGTCAGGGGGAGCCGACTTTTTCCCTAAGCGGGGGACACGAATTCTCTGAATTAGCTTGTTTTTTCAAATTCTTTACCGCTTAACTCTATTAGTTCTGCAACTGTGAAAGGCACATCATGTTTAATGACGTTCCTAACTATTTTGACAAGATTTTAAACTATAACCTGTTTCTTTGCAGACCATCCATCGTCTGATTCAAACTCGCTACCACTCAAAAATTGTATTTTCCATTTTAAATAAATACACAGCTTATTTTTCATACATATTCTGGTTTATGCAGATTTTTTTTAAGTTTGTTAAAGAAGTTTTCCGAATGCAAAGCAAAATTTTATTGCTACTCGCTGCTCCGTGACGTCATTTAACGTCATGTTTTTTGTCTTTTTAATCAAGTCCATATGTATTTAGAAACTGATACCGGTATCTTTTAAACGTTACCTGATAGCATCTTAAATAATACTAGTACAGGAAGACTTTATTTAAAAATGTAAATTTTATTTTGTTTCAGCTCCATTTATTAGAGGTATTGCTATAGATACTATAAAGTGAAAATAAGTTAATTACTCAATTTTGACGTTGCTCCGTGATCCCATTTTCGATGTTCTAAATCTTTGATAATTTTTAAAAATATGAAGATATATTCCATTTTTTAACTCAAATTATTCGAATTTTTTGTTAAAATATGTGAACCAAATTTGGATATGATATGACGTTAAATAAAAAAAAGTTTGGACAAAAGCCTACGAACTTTTTGAATGACCCTCGTAGTAGTTTTAATATTTTTCAAACACTCAACAAAAATAAATGAAGTGTTCATTCTTAGTTGCATCACCCATGCAGTTGTTTTAGGTAGGGTTTATATCATTCCCTAAGATTTTATGGACCTGCTCTAAACCTTTAACCGGTACGCTGGCGCCGCCAAAAATTCTCTATTATTTAGTATGCCATGGACATAAAAGACAGTTGTGCACATGGGAAAATTAACACATACTACAATTGTCGAAAATATTCTGACATATACCCAATAAGTCAGGCAGTCATTTCTCAATTGTTTTAGTTGAAAGACCAAGATTGCACATGCGTATAATCCGTACATTTATTATGCTGACCAAAACACTTCAATCTGACGTCGACTTTACGAAAACAATTTTAAATCGATACATAGATTGTTGATGATAATTGTTTATATGAAAGAGTAAAAGATTTATGTTCTTATGAGAAAATGATTGTTCTTGCTATAAATTTCAAGACAACGGATCAAAGCACACAAGATCTAAAATCACACTATCAACCCCCAAAACATTGAAATAGTCTCTGTTCAGACTTACGATTTTCCTGATCCTCTTGACCCTCTCCATTTTCATCGTCACTGTCCTCGTCACTCCTGTTGATGTAGTCTCTGATGCAGTCATGGATGAAAACGTACTGGTCCTTCAAGATTAATAACGCACTAGTACTAACTTCAATAATAATACTTCTACATTACGTGCAATTACTTCTACATAATGACACTACGATTATGCAAATGCATTTCTTCTCAACAAAACCAATGTTAAATAGTTGGATATCTTTACTCAAATATCTTGATAAATAATTTTGAGATTTGTTTTTATGCAATATATTTTAACTTTTCAAATTTCTATGGTTTTTGCTTTAGTCCCTTCTAGAGGTTTCATTCAACACTAATGAATGCCAATTTTTTGCAAACCGGCGACTACTTATTTCCAGAAAAAGAATAATACGTGCGTATATGCGGAATAGCATAACTGGTTCGAGGCGAAGTTATTCAAGATGCTTTTTTAAAAAAAAAAACCCTCAGTTTCCTCGCACTCGAATAAAATTTGATTTACATTTTCACAGAAATATAGAAGTATGTCTAGATACTGTCTGATTAAATAATGTTTAATATTAAAATGCTTTTATGGAAAAGGATTAAACACCATCCAATGGAGTATATTTACATTCAGTGTAATTTTCCTTATGAAGTCCATTAGAAATCAACGATGTTCAAATTTCTATAACACACGCGAAACCTTGTCACCGCGCGTTTGAATTCACAGCAGGAACTATAAGCATTTTCAATACTCTAGGGACACTAAAATGTAAAACGTTTCATTTCAATTTAATGAAAAATGATAACCCTGAAAAATTAACGTAACATTTAACGTTATGTGCGTTAAGAATTAATTTGTCACTTTTTTCCTCGCAAAGTTTGTTTGCGTTATTTAATTTTGCAACGTCATTTAACGTCATTTGACATCACAAACAGCTCTTACATCTATTAACCACGGCAGTTTTGAAGGGCGCTAAAATCATATTTAAGATGAACGGTATAAGCAATTATGAAGAAGGAAAATAAGAGAATGTAAATATAAGCATTGAATTCATATTGCTGGATGTCTTCGGTCCTATAACACACCTGGCCGTGTCGACAAACTATCATACCGCGCTAACGCGCGGTATTCAATTTGTCGGCACGGCCAGGTGTGTTATAGGACCGAAGACATCCAACAATATGTTTTCAATATTTAAATAAATTGTTTTATAGTCGTTACCTCTGTTTGAACCATATTTGGTCGATTGTTACGCATTTTCATAACATAGTCGTAAATGTCGATGACGTCACTGGAGCTGACGTGTTGCATCAAAAAATCAACAGCAATAAATGTACCGGTACGCCCAACTCCAGCACTAAATTAAAAAATACATACAGGTGTTCTAGTATTCAAAAGAAAATATTATATATCTATTGGCAATTTAAAGATATTTTGTCAACTCTTTCATTTTTTAATTTATTTTTAAAATTCCTACACTGTTGTTTATACATATCTTTTATTAAAAGTTTGTAATTAAAAGAAAATATATCCAAGAATCATCGTGACATCAAAATACAGATCTCCGAATTATATAATAATTCAAAATAACAAGACTCAAAAACTCGATGAAAATTCAGCATGCCTTTCATAAGCAGATATTTATGAGAGATAACATAGGCATTTATATATAGTTTATTTCAAAATATAATTTATATCTTATTCAATATTGTAACTTAAGCATTGCAAGAATAACGTGCTAATCATCCTCCAAAAATGTTATTGCAACGTCTTCGTGCAAGAAGTTTGAGTTCTGAAAAGTATACACGATTTACCTGCAGTGTACAACTAGAGGTCCTCTATTAGTTGTAGGAGGAGGTAGATGACTTCTAACCTCTTTTGTGAATTTAAGCATGGTTTCAGATGTTTCAGGAATACCCATGTCAGGCCATGCTAAATAGCAGAATTGTTTGATTGTTTTTCTGCTATCACCCTTTAAAATACCAATATACAATTTATTCATGCAAACATTCTTTCAGCGTTAAGTGACAATAATTAAAATGCTTGCGATGCCTACCATAAACATACATGTACAGCATATAATTATCACATGCATGTTAAAATTGAATATATGAGGACAACATAAAAAGAGAGGGAGGGGATTGAAGAAAGTTTAACAGCCACACCATTCACATGTGCTACCTTTCTTTTTGATTTAAAAAATATCTAGTGGTACACCCGAAGTATTGAACCTTGTGTATATTTCGGATACTAACTGTATCCTGATATCTTTTGATTAATCAGAAACGATCTGACATTAAATATACGTACAGAAAATAAAACATATACATGTACTAGTATCCATTTCCAAATCAAATCGTTTATCTGGCCCGGTCTTGGGGTGGTACAGGGTGTGATTGGAAAAAGGTATGTTCTATTAAGTTTACCACATACAGAGTAAAATACAGCACACATCAACTCGACAATATCAAAGAACAGGATTTTCAAATGGAAGAATGTGAAAAAATGTGTTTATTATTACAAGTACCTTTTAAGGTTAAATCTACTTCACGGCCCCTGAAACTGAAATGGCTTTTGTGCCGTCAGGTATATTGTGTACACAAACCCTTTATTTATCAATAAGTAAGCAACAGAAATATTTATCACATACTAATTAATAATATACAATTATGGACTTCAGTGTAGGTCGCTATGTGGTTATAAGGACTCATGGCAATTGATATTGACCGAAGACACAGACAGTGACAGCGACAGAGCCTGCAAACTCTTCTTCCTCTAGATGCTCCCCTCATTAATATTGTTAAAAACCTTTTATTGAGGAAAATGAAATTTACCCCATTCACATCAATTCAGTATTTAATTTGAATTGGACGAATGAACCTAAATAAGCAAGAAAGCAGACATGCATACAAAAGGGAACCGACTTTGGTTCAAAATGAGCAATTGGCTAAAGTGAATTCAGTTCAAATGAAAAAAGGAAAATGCATTGATAATGGAAATTGCAATGGAGATCAACCATGCTCAAGCTGAATACACCCATACGGACTAATTTCAACCGAGTATCAAGTACATTGTAGTACACTACCTGCAATGGACTACAATGGGACCAGGGTCATTATGGGGCAAGTACAGACGTGTAGCCCCAACAAAGTTCAAGAGCAACCAAGTTGTTTCTGGACATCCCATATCTGGCCATTTTAGGTAATGTAGTTGTTTAACCTTTCTTGTACGGTTACCCTTCATTTGAAAATTAATAATTATCTATCTTATATAAATGTAAGCAGCTTTCAATGATAAAAAATTATATAATAAGTCGCTACCAATGAAACTGGAGGGGGCTAAAGGTTTCTTCTACATTTGTTCGTCCGTACGTCTAGCTGTTCCTCTGTCTGTGAGTCTGTTTCTCTTGATTTTCCATACTTTTTTATATACGCTTGCAGATATCGAGTTGATTTTTAAGGTAGATGAAATATTTGGAAATAACAAACAGTATTCAAATTCAAATTTCCATTAAATAAATAAATACAAAATAGGAGTAGAGCAAACATGGACCCCCCAAAATATCAAGGTGGAATCAGGTGCCATGGAGGAGTTAGCATCCCCTGGCAACCGTCACACCCACCGTGTTCTCTGTGTCATAATCAGAAAATAATGGAAAAATTCGTTGTAAGTTCAGTGTCTAAAAAATGGCCTAACAATTAGTAAGAAAAACGTCAGTCAACATTTGATTCAATGATAAACTGTATTTGTTGATAAGGTCATTGTATCGACCAGAGAACTAATGAAATGAAATTTAAACGAGACTGCCGATATTCTTGTTTCCTCAACTTGTTTGTCAATAATTTATCTCAATTTATAGAATCAACTAAGAGATAATCTCTGTGCGCAGGTGATGAATGTATATTGCTACATAAGTAAGGGAAGTTGACGATTTAAAAGATTGTCATTACGTTTATCATAGAGTTTGGTTGCTAGATTACCATTAACATCATTTTCAAGTAAAATATCCAAATAGGAAACAGATTTGTCAGACTCAGAAGTATCTTTCTTTTATCTCAAGTTCATCGGGATATATCGTATTGACATTAGAAATTATAAATTAATAATTGACAATACGTCGTCGATATATGTAAATGTCGAGTTGCAGGCCATAGCAAGTGTTTTTCTTCTTTTCACGTATAAGATTTTGGATAAATTCTGCTTCACATGAATACAAAAAGGTCTTAGACTGCTAATAACGGGGTGTAATTGGTCCCAATGGGAATTCAAATAGATTATTGGAAGACCTGGTCACGAAAAACCAGAAAGATATTGTCAATCAGAAACTCAAGCATTCTTTGGATGTCAACTTCCAGGGTACTTTTGTGTATAAAACAGACTGTGTTTTACAAAATAATTTTGGAAATGATCCATATAAAAAGGTAAGTAAAGAATTTTCGAGTTTAATTTTTATTGAAAAAGCAGGTGTCAATGATGTCAAAGAGCCTTCACTTTTTCGGTATTTATCATGGGGAATGGTTGTGTATAAAGTTGAAAAGTCGTAAGTTCTTATGCAGTTGATTTTGGTAAAATCTTGTGATTTCAAATATTCCAAAAGTTAAAACGTACCAGTTTAACAGACATTACTCGAAGGACGTAATCTGGAAGCGTTGATTCGGATTCAATTTCTACTACAAGGTCACCATAATAAACTGGTTCTCGCGTAGCCTCTGGCCAGTATATATCACATTTTCTCTGTGGAGTTAAAAAATAAAATGATTTTTATGTTTTTAAAATCAATAACATCTACATATTCCAAAACCGTGATCATTAATTCAATTTAAAGTAGATCCCTTCGAACATGAACACAAAGGAAGGCAACAATATATTTATATTTCATCCTAATTAAAATTCAGTTTTTGGTTCGTCGACATATATGTCTTCTTTGTATTTTTTTTAAATATAGAAATATAATGAGAATATTTATTCAACACCTTTATAAAGGAAACACAATTGCCTCAAAACATCCCGATGAATTAAAAAAATTAATTTATGAAGAAATGAAGCTATAAACCTCCGCAAGAAAATCTGTTCTTTTGAAAATTAATTTAATAAAAATCAATATGCATAATAATTGAATGATTTTTAAGTTTTTATTTTTAATTGAACATTGAAAAGAAATAAAATAAAATGAAATATTCAATTTGAAACAATTTAAGGTAGACATACGTATATCGGAGACGTATGTTATATATGTACCAGCTTCCTTACAAAACATATTTCAGGAGAATAAAAGTCTATCATTTTTGCATACCCTTCCTCTCTCAACAAGCTGAGTTAGCATGACGATAATGCTAACATTCTGTTCCCATATCATTCTCCAAAAATCATCGCGAGTGAAAGGAAGTGGGCCTTGCGTTGCAATATATTCTCTTTGCGAACTATATCCCTGGAAAAAAATTTTACATAGAGAATATTACATATTAAATTTCATACCACATATTAGCCTTGATCATTGTTTAATTGATATCAGCACGAGATTTCAAGCTGATTCGACATTTTGTGTATATAGTTTTATTTAAAAGTATTTCTTAAATTTTTATTTAAAAATCCCTACTTTTTTATTTTTGTTGTTGTTGCAATGTTGAATCATTTAAGAAAATTTATTAATGTTTATGATCTCTTTTTAAATGCGAAATCATATGAATAAAATTTTAGAGCAGAGCACAAACGGATCTCTGAAACAGAAGAGATGGGATCAGGTGGAATGGAGAAATAAGCAGCCCCTGTTGACAGGTAAAACCCGCCTTGTACTCCTTGTCTTGATAAGGCAAAACAGAAAATAGACAATTCAGTGTGAAACTATAACGGCCTAACAGTTTGTATGAAAAATGACAGTCAACTTTAGCTTAACAATAGATTCTATTTGCTGTAAAGATCATTGTATCGACAAGATAATTTGTTAAATGATGATTTAACGGAGACTGATATCAAATGTTGCATTTTCAACTTATTAGCCTTGTTTTAAGCCCATTTGTAAGTGAAAATGCTTTATTATTACACTAATAAATGAAGTTTATGAAGTGAAAATCATTGCGTTTTGTTGATAATTTGCAAAGAATTTTTTTAAAGTAAAATATCGAAATATGGAACAGATTTATCAGACAACATGGTGACGTTTATATCGATTTTAAATGGATATATTGAATCAGATAGGAATTAAAATAGGAATGGAAATAAACATTGTTAATTGATAAAATGTCGTCCAAATTTCAAAATGAAAGTCACAACAAAAGACGTATTTTTGTAAAATTACCCCTCCTTGGCACCTGATTCCATATATGATGTCTTTATACTTTCATGTTTTCTCAGTGCCTGGTTACTTCAGTGGACATTTTAGTTTGATCTATCTTTGTTATATTCATATTTCATATTAAATTTTTGAATAAAGAGAGCAAGGCTTATCTCAAATCAACAAACTTAAGTTCTAGTAGACTAATATGAAGGCGGGTGTCAGAGAAATCAAGTTAAAATGTTAATTATAGTGTAATATACATTTCAAAACAGTTTTTCCCCATATAAATGACTTATACAGAGAAATAAATGACTTATTCAGTAATACTTACTGGAATATAGTTTGCATTAATATAGTCAGAACCCTCATCGTCCTCTGTAGGAAGCAATTTTACACGACTATGATCAACTTAAAAAGAAAAGAAAATGAAAGCTAAATCAGAAAAGTTAATATCATAACGTTGCATTTTATACATTTTATACATGAAGCAAAAGACGCACAATTACCTGTTTACTACGCAAGCCAATTTCAACGCTTTAAATGGTATTGATAGATTATGCTTTTACACAAATATAAGAAAGATTAAAATCGATCAATAAAAAACGATTTATCACAGGCTTAATAGTACTTTGCAAATTTCATAGTAGCATTTCTAGGAATCTGAACTAAAAGAAACTTTTTCTGATCATGTTACACATGAAACATACATGCCAGAATGTTGGTATATCTGTTTTTAATTCTGTTGACCTGTACTTCTGCAGCTTTTGTTGTGTGAGCTGGACACGTTTCTTTTAACAGCTAAAATCAAAATATCAATGGGAATATTCAAAACATAGTAATAAATGGTGAAACAGATTTAATTTATCTGTTTTAGTCAGATTTATTTCGGCATTGAAAAAAACACTATAATCTTGACAACACTGACTTACAATTAATTGTTTGTATCATCTGTCTTTAAATTCGGATTAACAATATCTTATATTCGTGATTCTGTATCGTTTACAAACTGAAAGTCGTCAAAAATACTTGAGAAAGAAAAGAAAACCTTACAGAAATTAAAGTGTTACCTTGTATTCATTGGAAAACATCAAGTTACTGTCTGCATGCATTCTTTGCACGTGTTCAGCAAACTCTGCATTTTTCACTGGTCTGGAACAGTAAAAGTACCAATTATTCTGAGTACTTGTTTGTTTTTTTTTCACAATTATTTTAAAATACCATTGGAACGGTTGATAACAATAAATTTCGAACGATTTCGTATACATTGAAGGAAATGAAAGTTTTCTTTTTACGTTTTGATTGAAAAAAATAATTTTTCTTTTTTCCCGATGCTTACCCTGAACTCGGTATAAGGATCTAAATGTAGTCCAAAAGAGAAATTCCTTATCGAAGAAACAGTCACATGTAATGCAGTTGGACAAGAATCAAACCTATGTCTTACGACCCCAACGCATTACTACTAGATTAATGTTAACACTGACAAAAATTAAAGCAAAACGAAACTTAATATTGGAATTAATTGTTACCTTGGTTTTGCCGCATTTTTGGTTTCAAGTTCCGTTGAAAACGTTTCGTTATCATTCCCTTTCGCCTGATCTCTTCCTTCGTCCTTGAATGGCCTGATTGTTGTAAATATATTTAACAAATACTATTTATAAATATATACGAGGGTTGTCCAAAAAAGTTCGTGGACAATGTCGTTTTTGTTAAAAAAATGGTTCTGTATATATTTTTTGTATATCAAATTATTTCTCATGAAAAACCAAGTCAGATAGATTTCATTTTAATTGATGAAATGTTATATTTTTGTGAAAATCGAGGTTTTTCAATATCACAGATAGTGCGCACGGAACAAAGTTAAAATGCCATAAAGTTTGAAATAAAGTGTTTGGATTGAAAGAATTATTTTTTTTTATATAAAACAAGTCAAAGCTTAATAAAATTATATGTAACACAAATAAAGAGGCTATAATCATTTTTTGATATCTTAAGTATGTGTTACTATATAGACAGTGAAAATACTAAATAAGAAGCCTAACAAATATGTGTCAAAACTCGACAGAAAAAGCCACGTCGGCCGTCCGAACGCGACATCGTCTGATCAAAAAATTATGTATCAATACGGTTGAAACGACGTCAGAGACAAAATATCTGTTCAAACAATTCAAAGTTATTAGAATATATTTTGTTTATTGATTTGAGATTGGTATAATATATACGATTTTTCAACGGTGCCCGTGCAAATTCGGAGACACTACAAGGATTTGAAAATGCATGTTATTTGATGAAAATGAATACTTCTATTCATGGCATTGTTATAAATCTAGCGCAACATGAGACTGGACTGTGCAGCCTGTGTATACGAATTGTTTATATTGATGACGCTTGTAAATTATTGTGTATTGTTTTGAATTTTAAAAATTAAACAAATTATAATCTATACTTCAAGATTATTGCTAGCAATTTGCAGTGTGAGATAATAAAGAATATATGTGTGTCCAAGAACATGTACTAAAAAATTCCAAATCCAAATGTTTGAGGTTATAATGAAATTAGCGTAACGTCAGACTGGTCCGTGCGCACTATCTGACCATGATTTTTACAAAAAATAAAGTTCCATCAATAAAAATTAAATCTTTCTGACTTGGTTTTTCATGAGAAATATTTTGATAAACATTACATTTATACAGAACCATTTATTTTAACAAAAACGTCATTGTCCACGAACTTTTTGGACAACCCTCGTAATAAACATGCCTAGTGCAGTATTTGTAATGTAATACAACCCCTGTAGCACACCGTTCGAACAGTTAAAAATCACTTCACGTTTTGCAGACGTCCTTATTACCTAACGACTCTAGGGCCAACGCTCTAAACACTGCACCAGACATCAATCATTACTATACAATCATAATACAAAATGATTACATTATTTAAAATGTGATCTTTCGCGATATATTTATTTTGAGCTTTAACTGAATATACCTATAATTCCTATTATAACCGATAGAAACATTAAACGAAAAGTGCAATTATTTTTTAATTGTTTTAATTTTACTCTGCTTGTTTTATTGTCATATGTCTTATGATAGTGCTTTTTTTTTATCATAGGGGCTTATATAACGCACTGTTTTTTTTGTCTGCTTTTCACAAGTGAAATTTATTTAGTGAAGAATTGTAGATTTCAGATACCTTATAATCCCTATTAAACGCCCCTGTCCTTATAAGCGCCCCTCTAGGGCTTTTAATTGTAAGGAAATAAGGGCCCCTACACAGTGATTAAATTATCAAGAATCGTATCAAAAGTCTGCCAAAATTTGAAGAAGGTGAAAATGAAGCTTGTATATTATCCAATTTCTGGGTGGAAAATGAATCATTTAGCATAATTTGGGTGGATTATCTTCACGTAAAGTAAAGTTGGACATTATTTTAGTGGTTCTTTGAATTTATTTTTATTCAAAAGTTACATTATTTGAAGTTGAAATATGACATTAAATATTAGAAAGAAAATACCCCAAATAACTGAGCCCTTTTTTGCAATTTTCTGAGCGCTCGGGGAGGGGGGGGGGGGGGAGTAACAGGGATTAAACGGTAATAGTTAATCGGACCTTGCATCAACTACCATGTCTATCGGGTTCTATGTGAAAACCTATGATGCACAGGAAAGCTTTTTGATTTTCATATGTTCTTTAAATTACTTCAATACATTTTACTCTACGTTTAAATATCAAGGCATACCCTTTCCTTCTACGTTTCAAATACAGGATAACTGCAATAACTACCACCAGAGCCATCACGACACCAGATACGGAACCAGCAATAGCAGGGACAAGGTTAGGCTCTACAGAAGGAGTTTCAAAAATTTAAATAGTAACATTGAATTAAACCTTACAATTGTTTAAAATTAACAAAGTGCGAGCTAATCAAGCTTATTTTTTGTACAAAAACAATTCAGATGTTGGCTTTGAACAGCTTAAAATGTTTAATGATCCAGGGACCAGGTGATTTAGTGCATACACTATTTTGGTTAAAACCTACATGTGACGATGTGTACAAACACTACTTCATTTTCAGTACAATCATCATAATGTATTTGAAAAATTTAAACCATCATAATGTATTAATTAACATTTAATTGCAATTGAATGAAATTATATTTTGCATTTAACTATAGTCAAAAGACTATGGACTGTATTTTGTTTGTAGGACACAACTAACTTGTTTCCAGTGGTGATGAAAATTCGGATTCCAGACACCCTCCTCTAGTACAGACTGCAAATCGCACTCTACAAAATCCACACAAACATTTAAATAAAAAAAGAAAAGATTTGTTATCAATGTAGAAGGTTTTTATTGTTAAAATTCTTACTTGTATTTATTTCCAGGTTTCAAAAATCCATTGCAGTACCCAGTAACGCCTTCACATTCCCCCTGTTCACCAACTAAGAAACTGACTTTTACCTCTTCTAATGCCCGTAAAAGCGGTTCGGAAAAATTAGGATAAAAAATAATTTAATCGCATTTATTATTCAAAACACATTATCTGCTGCGTTGAACAAATTAAAAAATATTAAGGTTCATTGTCGATATTCAAAAAGCTTTACATTTAATGTTTATAGTAAGCAAATACCCTATCCCTTGCAGGATGCATATATTCAGAATACACTACAAGTTGGATTTGGCATGTGTTTTATATCATTACTTAAATTACATAAGCCACTCATCGTTATGTACTTACCTTTATTGCATTTTGGATCCCAGTCACTTTTCGCTATGTATGGATCAAAATGGTCTTGGTTGTGGACATTTGACCATGTTTTGTATTCTTTATCGATAAAATTTTCATACTTAATTTTTGAATCCTGAAATGGTTTTACTGCAAAACAATTATCAAAAAAAAAATTAGGATATATTTGGGACAAGAAAAATGACTGGAATGAACAAACCCATCATACTGCTATTATCTAAAGAAGATTTATAATGAAATTATTTTTTGTGGACTTACATAATTTACTTGGAATACTTGATTCTTCAGCAACAATAATATACCAAGATACTGGCATTCCATTCCTATCATCGCAAAGAGATTGATGATAAAAATACACAGACAATTGTTTCTCGTTATCTGAAACTCTACCGGATGGTCCGATGGATACAGTCTTTGCTGATTCAGGTAATTGAAGAGGAATGGGTGCTGAAGTGGAAAATTTGCTAAATATACTTTGTTTATACGTTTTTGTTATGAATTTAGGAGAAACTATTCAAACAATTTAGTCAATAAGCCATTTGAAAGAAAACGGGATATTAAGGGTAAATTTATTTAAGAATCATTTCATCACAATACTCCATATTCAAAATTCAAAACAAATATCTTACACATCGTACAATGAGATCGTAGATAACATTTTCTTTAATCTATGCTGCCAATCGTAAGAATATATTGTTACATGCATATACAATGCAACCGCTTCAACTGATATAAAATCACAAATATATATAAATATATATACAGTGGACCTTCAGATATCCGGACGCCAGATATCCGGATGCTTCAGTATCCGGACGCTATTTCATCGGAACAGAATTTTAAAATGTTATCATGTCTTGTTTAACTGGTGATTCAGGTATCCAGACGCTTCACATATCCGGACAAATTGACTGGGAACCAAAGCGTCCGGATAAATGAGGCTCCACAGTATATATATATATATATATATATATATATATATATATATATATATATATATATATATATATATATATATATATATATATATATATATATATATATTAATAAAAAAGATTGTAAGACGAAAGATAAATATTCTGAAGATTTCTTAAATTTCTATTAGATCTACACCTATAATTCTTCATACCTACCTCCTGCAACTATTTCGATTGTTGTTGATACTTGATCGTCGTCAGTCGCATTTGCTACTGTCTCTGGAAATATCTTCGAAGAAAGAATATTCAGTAAAATTGATATGTATTATAGCTTGAAATACCGGTACATGTATATATTTTTAAAAGCTCTCTTAAAATTGAATTTTAAAATGTATAAATAATTACCAGGAAAGTGTAATTCCTTTCTGGCTTGATTTTTTTAATAGTCGCAGAAGAAATATTGGGTGGATATGATTTTGTTTTTACCTGCAAAAAAGTATGCAAGAAAAAAAACATATAATGGAATGATGCCTGAATGAGTCATGATCATATTTCTTTTTATTTTTTTTTTTTAATTTATTTTCAAATACAAATTTGACTTAAGTTTAAACGTCTTCCTGATCATCACATAGGGCTCTCGACGGGTGTCATCACTACACAGGTTTTTTTAAACTCCCCCTAGGCACTATTTTAAACTCTGGAGTTTCCCGATGTCCCTATCTGTTTCGGCCTCTTAAGTGATTTATATTATTAATCTTAAATCAAATATCGATCACTGTTTGTAAATTTTCCTCTTTTTACGTAATAATATTATTTTAAAATAAACAATACATTACTAGTAGTTTAAACTAAACAGAAGACATACATGGACTATCCATTTATTCTGCAAATACCCCTTGCATTTAACTAATTAAGGTAACCCAATAAAGCAAAGCTTTATTCGGTCAATGCCATAATAAAGCCTCATTCATGAATTTCAACGTTTTGAAAGCATTGTGACGTGATATACTGTGAAACAATGTTTAAGATACGGCGTCTTAGTTTCTAAGTATGCCTAAATCCGTTGAAAATAACTCGTTTTGGAGGTCAGATTCAAATTTTTGCAAGATAACCAATATGTAGTTTTTGCCTTTAAAAATGAGTGATACTTATACACTTATAAGTGATACAAAATAATTTTGCAACTGAACATGAAAGATAAGTAAATAAATAAGGAGTATTATATATTGCCCACATGTACTTGCGAACCTACATTTTGCATTGCGTTCATGCTGTCATAATGCCCTATAATTTAAGTGTGACTTTTTACCCACAAATAGTAGAAGCCTGGTAAATTGACATGTATAAAAAATCTTCAATCTTTATGAACAATAATGGTCTGGGTCAGATCAATAGGTCAAACGTCAAATATTTTGACGTCATCTACTAAATCTTTGAATTATTTTAATCACTTTATATAATTTTTCGTATCTATTACCAATTTCATACTTCCTTGCATAACGCAGGTTTAAATGTCAAAGAGGTAAACTGTTAAAGTCAACACAATGCGTATGCATAACCAGATTTAGATAGTAACTTGTTCTTCCTCGAACTCGAGTTCCTACTTTTTTTTTTCATTTTTGGAGAAATAAACGTAAAGCTGGTGAAATTGCCTATACAAATAGTATGTACTATGTACTTCCAAAGTAATATAAATTTGGTATTTTGGAATATGAAATCCAGTGGCAAAGTTAGAATGAAATTGATTAGAACATGCACCTGCATTTTCACCAAAATATGTATGAAATCGTGAAGAGAGCCTGGATTAAACTTCAAGTAATAACTTGCATAGGTATAAGCAGCCAATCTTAATTCTTTTTGATGTGTCATGATATAGTATGACCATGAACAACTGCCCGAGAGGGATTAAACACATTTGATAATGGGAGAAAAAGAGAAACATTTAAGCAACTATTTACATTGCTGTAAAAGTACATTATGCATTAACATTTTAATATAGTCAAAATATCGTTTACCTCACTTTTTAAACTATCTTTAGAATTTACAATCCAGTACTTCACATAATACGATCGAATAACACCGTTCCTGTTCATCTCTAATGGCGGTAGCCAGCTCAAATTTACTGCACGGGGGGCGATGACATTTTGAATTTGCGATACTTTGAAATCTGCAACTTTTCCTGGAGCTGAAACGGTTAATTTAAAATGACATAATTGTAATTTGTTTGTCTTAGATAAATTCATTTCTAGAATTAACAAGCAAATTAATGGTCCTCCGCTTTTGGTGTTTTAGTGGATTATACCATTTTATGACACATTGTGTCAAATGGGTACATCTTATAATATTTCATGCAAAATTTATCTCCAAAGTTAAATATTTAAAAATTAGGTCAAACATGAAGGTCAAAATTATAGCTTTTATAGAAAACATTTTATAACCGGCAATGTACATGTGAAATATGATAGCCCTATCTTTCCTATCAAAAGTTAAATGGAAAGGTAACATATGTTAAATTTAGGTCAAACTTCAGATAAGGTCACAGGGTAAAAAATCTTAAGTCTTTTTGAAATGTCTTATCGCAGGTAATATGTATGTGAAATATAAAATCCTTATGTATCTCTACTCATTCAAAAGTTATGATTAATGCACATATAAAGTTATGGAAGTCTTATCTATTCTCTTTCAACAGTTATTACCAAAGTTAACGTTTTTGTGACAGACTGACGGACAGACAAATGAAATTTAATGTTCCCTCGCTTTCACGAAAGCGGGTACAAAAAGTTGTTTATGTAACCCTAGTGATCTGGCTAGACTACCGCAATAGTTGAAATATAACAAACAATGTATACTGAGTGAGAATTGTCATTTATTAAATGACAATAAGTATATAACACAGATAAAATTAAGGGGAGATCACCGGGATATTTCCTGAGTACAAAGAACAATAAATTTGGCAACGGTATCTCCCCTGTTGCAAACAAACATTACTTTGGCAAAAATATTTTCGTTCATTTATGTATTGGTAATAACTTTCAATATGTTGCTACTCCATTGTATTTGACATCCTGAGCCTTGCTATTTTTATTGTTTGTGTTGTATATATATAATGCTGCGTAGACTGTACGATTTTATGTTATTATAATGCTGTGTAGACTGTACGGTTTTGTGTTGTTATAATGCTGTGTAGACTGTATGATTTTGTATTATTATAATGCTTTGTTGACTGTATGATTTTGTGTTGTTATAATGCTGTGTAGACTGTACAATTTTGTGTATATATATAATGTTTTGTAGACTGCCTGATTTTGTTGATCTGGCTAGTCCACCTGTTTTGCCTTCTGTTTTGCAAACAGCTTTTCATAGCAGTTTGCTTTTGGTGGCAGCTTTTTGTTTTGACAACTTTGTGGTTTATATACTTTTTATTTGTCAAAATATTTTTGCCAAAGTAATGTTTGTTTGCAACAGGGGAGATACCGTTGCCAAATTTATTGTTCTTTGTACTCAGGAAATATCCCGGTGATCTCCCCTTAATTTTATCTGTGTTATATACTTATTGTCATATAATAAATGACAATTCTCACTCAGTATACATTATTTGTTATATTTCAACTATTGCGGTTGTCTAGCCAGATCACTAGGGTTACATAATACAGCATTATTGTAAATAATAGCCTTTATGTAATCTATGATGTAATGTAGTTCAACTTTCATGTTTGTTTGAGTCTTATTGTGTTATTAGCTGTCTCCTTGAGGAAAAAGTTGTTATTATCCAATCATATTGCTTATTCAAATCACGTGACACAAGATAGCGTCTTTTCACTGATTTAGAAGTGCCAAGAAATGCACAGAATTGTTTTGAAAAATTTACCCACCCTCCGTCCCCCTTCATACTCCATGATAAAAATATTGTAGTCTCAGAATTATGTTTTGTAATTTATTTATCATAATATGTACCTTGTGCCATCTTACTTGCCATTGTGCAACTTTTGTCTTGTCATCTTTTTTAATTGTTTCCTGTTTAAATACTTTGTTTGTTTAGAAATATTGGCAGCTTTTTGTTTTGACAACTTTGTGGTTTATATACTTTTTATTTGTCAAAATAGTTTTGCCAAAGTAATGTTTGTTTGCAACAGGGGAGATACCGTTGCCAAATTTATTGTTCTTTGTACTCAGGAAATATCCCGGTGATCTCCCCTTAATTTTATCTGTGTTATATACTTATTGTCATTTAATAAATGACAATTCTCGATTTTAAGCAAAGATTTTAGAATAATTTAATAAAAAAAGAAGTATAAAAATCGTATCTTATATTGATGTACATGTTCCCAACAATTGAAGTAGCATAAAAATGTACATTTAAGTCAGTTACTAAGGTGGCAGAGGATAGTTTTGCATTAAATACTGTCAAAAATTAACAAAAAAAAAAAAAAAAAAAAAATTGGGAGAAAACTGAGGTTTAAATGTATATTATAGGTAATTTTATAGCTAGAATATTTTATGGGTGCATTTGAAGGGAATTTGGTGGCCTTGTATATTTTATTGAAATATGACACTTTAGTGTCTCTACTACCGTATATGGGATGTGGACTAGAAATACGAAACTAAGATCAAAATCACTCTCATTTCACCAGAAAAGCAGGGTGAGTTCATAGGATGAATTGAAGCTTGAAAACTGTTAATCTTATTGGTTTAGTTCATTTCACATGAGGTGAGACAATTCGTGATGTCTTACTTATGCGCCGACATTCTCTATCCATGGTGTATGTGGGAGAGAAGCGAGAACGACAACTCTGGATAGAGAATGACGTGCAGAGTGACGACTATTGTCACCGTTCAGATGGCAATGAAATAACACAATCTAGCATGCAGACTTATGTGACGTGTAACCGAGCGGATAATATAACAATAATAAAAATAAACAAAAATATATACAAAAATATTATCTCTCAATTTAGACTAAGCTACTTGCTCAAAGCGTGATTCATAGGAAAGCTCAGATAACTTCGATAACTTCTGAGAACCTAACAAAGGGAGTTTTTTACAACAAAATTAAGTATGGGACGGGGAAGTAATCAAAAATACTAATCTAGCTCTATTTACTTGTCTGAAATGCGTCTCAACTGTTGGCTTACTTAATAAGTAAGTGTTACTTTAATTACTTAAAGCTTAACTTATTTAAGAGAGGGAAGGAAAGACTTGATCAGTCACGTGTAATCCCTATCTTACATTATCCTAAGTTTACTTCAACAGCTACTGACTTTGACAAACTGCAAATGCTACAGAATGTGTTACTGCACTGAGAAGACATCGCCTTTATACTCTCCTAATTATCATACTTAATTCTGATTGGCTGATGACTAAACTTATCTTCTCTCTACTGGAGAGTTCCTATTTCTAACAAGAGTTACCTCTGATCTGATCATCACACTTACAACTTTGTTGTCACCCTTTGAATGAAATTACAGCGGTTTAAGCGGGATAACTCTTATTTATTGTTATACATGCTAAATATGCGGGAATGGCGAACATGAAATTCTAACGTTGACGTCAAAGTTGTCTGTTGACATTATTTGAAAGTATGGAATCAGAGAAAAGTAGGAGGACACAAGATGATTGATTACTGTTTGCTACTCGATCTGATTGATAATGTAGATTCTTCAGGAAAATACAACTATTGCGGAATGTTTAGAAGGGACACATCACCAACTACATATGTATTTGGTGACAACCATACTCACACCTGATAATTGGTGAGTCTCCTTTCTAAATAGCCCATACTTTGTATTGTGACAATAACAGAAAAATGACGCTGTGATTTACTTTTCAAAACAAAAAATGCACTGCAACTTCAAACTCCGAGAAACATGTTCTTTAACTTCAGATTGGTTCTTAAATAAAAGAGAGAGACAGACTGCTTTTCCTATATTCCCTTTCCTTATGAACAGGAAAAAATACTGCATTCATGACAATTCGATTTTTGAAAAAGGTGCTTTGCCTCAATTATACATTTAACCTTTGTTTTATTAAGATACTCCAATCCTCAGCCAAGAAAGATGGACATGGCGATAACGAACAGTATTCAATCTAAAAGTCCATAAAACAATACAAAATAAGAGCAGAGCAAACACGGACCTCCGAAACATCAGAGGTCGGATCAGGTGCCATGGAGGAGTAAGCATCCCCTGCTGACGAACTCTTTTATTTATAAATTTCATTCAAAAAGTCCCAAAATGATGCTTGAAAATGAAACATGTGGAGATAACGAACAGTATTCAAGATCAGAAGTCCATAAAACAATACAAAACAGGAGCAGATCTACAGCAAACTCAGAATAATAATTTTCCCTATAAAATATGGTTAACTTTAAAGTCCTTAAAACTTTAGACAATTTGCTTTGGGAATTCAAAGACATTTTTGTGAGCATTTCAATTAGTCAATATCTGATTTTAGAGCTTAAGGATCTAAGAAGCTTAAGCACATTCATACAATCACAGAAGTTCGCGTACCTATCAATTTTACCGAAAATTTCAGCAAATAAAAAAAAAATACGTAATACCTGTAATAATAACTGTTATTATAGGTGTTACGTATTTTTAAAAAAAATTACTGAAAAATTCGGTAAAAGTGATAGGTACGCGAACTCCTGTGATACAATTTATAAATGAAAAAATGTAACTTACCACTCTCGTCAGTTTGTATGATCAATGTGATGTTACTTGGTGGGTATGGGTTGGTGACAGCATACAATATTATTTGATATTTACGGTAAGGATGTAGGTTTTGTATCACACAAGACGTGTTAGAAAATCCTGTAAAAAGAGAAATCATTGCGATTTTCGCAATTTAAAATACAGCTTAACTGAAATTTGTATTAAGTCTATTTAGTATTCGATAATGCATGTTGGAAATAAACTGACCTCTGGATGTACAGTTTGATTTTTTTGTCTCGGTTTTTATGTCTATTGCTACAGCTCTGTAAAATGTTGGACCTGTCTCAAGTTTCGGTGGATTCCAGCTTAGCGAAACGGTTACAGATGTTGGGTCACTAGTAACATTTTCTGGTTTCTTAGCAGCTGATCGAAAAAAAAGCAAAGAAACCAGAGGTTTCCAGTATTTAAAAAAAAGATTACAATATTCGATTCAAAAAGAAATCTAAATGCTTGTTAATTACTTTTTTAGCCTTACTGTTCTGTACAACAATATTAAAAACATTCGCTCTGTACATATGCATTTGATCTTCGGTAGTTTAGCCCTATCCGAACAAATAAACTGATGCTACACGAGTATCAACAACCGTCTCTTTGGACATGATTTCGAAAATTCTTTTTAAGGGGGATGTACAAGCCACATTTGATCAAGTCTGGTGTAAAAAAAGAAATACCAAGAATGCGCTTAATACTTTACTAAACTAGCCCAAAGTTACTCAAAGTGCTAATGCACTTATTACCTACTGTTAGAGACCAAAATTAGTAAATAATTAAGTTTATTTTGTTTTAATTAGGAGGAAATTAATCATGTTAAAACTGCGCAGCTACAGCATTCACGAGATGAAAAATGCATTGAAAATTGTGTTAGTTTGATTCATTGATAATATGGCTACAACCATTTGTTTTGCTTTTTTCTTGTCATTATCCATAATTCTTGAAAATTTGATTTTTCATATGGGTGTCTTCCTGAGGCCATGTGTTTATTTCGTCCGCCATTCCTCTGTCACACAGAGTTCGAATAACATTGATTTTAGAATAAATGCGACCATAATAACATCAAGACAAGAAATTGCTAAGTAATAATCATTATGTTATATTACTTACTACTTTTATTTGTTGCATCGTATCGTCTGATTAATGAAAAAACGCGATTTTAACCCCACTCCAGCAAATCGGGAAAAACGGTTCTGTTTACAGCTCGAATTTCCTTGTTAATATTATTCCACTGAGCACGTGGTTGGCATGTGCATATATCTGCTGTGGATAGATGCGTTTATTACCATGATTATATTTAATTTTTCATGGAACAAGTCTTGATAATTTGTTGGTTTCTTTAAAACTCAAGAAAAAAGATAAAAAATGTCCTAAACATATGTGTTTACGTTGGGTCTTTTTTCTGTGGCGATAGAAGTTATTTTCAAATGGGGCACTGCAAGGAGGATGCTTAGCATTTAATTTGAAAAAGTTAAACAATATGCAGTGCATGAAAAACAAATTGTAATTACATGTCTTACATTCGAAAAGTTGGTACATATGTCTATTTTGTTTAGCAGTTAGATAGAAAAAATAGGCAGTTATAAGATTTCCTTCAGGCACCTCACATAAATAGCTAGATGGTTTGCAATGACCCACACATTGTATGGAGTGATGTTTGGACATAAAAAAAGTATCAAGTCTCATTATGTTGACAACGTTGTAAGCTCTCGCCCATTGAACACACGAAGCTGTTTCTTTGAAATGTAGAAGCAAGCACAATGTTTGCAATGAAAGGTCCATTGCATATGCTATGTCTATCATCGCAAAAACACAGTGAAAGGCTATAGCCCCCCCCCCCCCCAAAAAAAAAAACCTATGTTTGTTTTTCAAAATAGTGCCAAAGATTCAAAAAGTTTGCATTACTAATTTTGTGATGGAACATGTACTAGCCTTATACATGTAAGACCATTTGTTATAAAAATATTTGGTTGCCCTCTTTCCCGATCTACTGCCTATAAATGGACCGACTCAATTTTTTTTTACATCCCATTACACAATATTTTTTTTTCTTCCGTCAACAAATATGTTTAAATTTTAAGGAATTTTTTTCTCACCTATAAATACCGACCCAGTAATTTTTCCCTGAGTTGGGAGGACCACCAAACGTCATTTTAAAGATGGTATAAAATATTTAATTATGTTGATTTTTTTTTCTTTACTCTGTAAAATTGTAATTTTGACAAAATGGGCAAATAGAAAAAAAAATTTTTTTTATTCATTAAATCTTCTAACCCACGCTGAATGATTTCATTCCTTTTCCAATGTTGCTCCACTGTAATGAAGTTGTATACGAGGGGTGATCAAAAAGTAAACGATATTTTAGGTATATTTGATAGTTGTATTATTGTTGAAATATTCAAGTATTTTTCAAAGTGTAAATTGGAGGTCTTTGATAGCATATTGCTTAATTAAAAACACATCCCTTTTCAAACTTGCTTTCACCGGGCAACATTACAAGTATCATATGAACCATCTGCCTTCCTTCACTAAAACGATCTATCCAATCATTGATTGAATTTATAGGAAGTCATTTGTCTTAATATACTGTGAACAAATTCTTATACGCTACTTCAAAGGCATTTTTAAGATATACTAGAAATATTTTAGTCGTTTGTTGAACGAGCTCCACTGAGACAACCATTTTTCGACACAAGTACCTGCATAATAACGTCATTTTCACATTGTGAGCAAAACTTTATTCAGCATATGCTATTTACAGAACTTGTGTTTGGCTATGTGTGCACCAAATTTGTTTCTAATCTGAATTTTTTTAAATAGATATACATGTATCGAGATAGTTCGCGAACCTTTTGATCACCCCTCGTACTAGTAGGTACTAAAACAAGGTCATTCATATCGATTTTATGTGTTTAATTTCAATGGTGATAATTAAACTTTTGATAGATATTATAAGTTATCTGTGGCAAACTTACAAACTCTTAATTTTTAACCTTGATGGTGCTCATTTTTCCTTATCTGGAATCAAAGAGTTTAAGATTTTTTTTATATCAATACGTACACTATTTAACAACTGTTCGATAATAATACTAAATAAATTACTTCAAGAAACACTACAACACATTTCCTCTTTTAAAAGTGTTCATATTATTTGAAATATTTTGCAACTGTAATTCTCTTCTACATTTAAAGATTGTTATGTCCCTCCATATTAAGAAGAGGTCTGGAAAACAAAATTCTGTACTAAAAATAGACCACGTGCTGCTATCCATGAACTACTTTCATGGTTCTTTACACTCTTTTTGAAAACAACGATGCATCGTTTTGAACTTAAAATTATCATTTAAAAGTGCAAAATTTAGACATTTACTCAACAAATGGTTGTAGAGAAAACATAAATGCACAGTTTGCGTATTTTTTTTGGATTTTTTAAGGCTTTGCTGAATTCTGTAGCTGCGCAGTTCTAAGAAGCATATCAAAAGCATTTTTCTGCAAAAGTATAGATTATAAATGCACAACATGCATTCAGTTATGCATATTTATTGTATCTTGATCATAAAGACTTAAAATTTGATCAAAATATAATGTATTTTAGCCATTAGAAGAAATGTTTACATTTCGTTCTCACTTCACTAAAGGTGGCCGTACATCCCCCTTAATGCATAATAACCTTTTTTGAAATAAAGTGTGCAATATATATGTTGAAAGTTGACTGACATTTAAGACATATTAGCTTTTTTAATGAATTTTCTACTGCTTGCTTCATGTAGACGATCTTGACTTGAGGACATGGCCAATTATTAAATCTCGGATGCTTCAGGGTTTCATGTTTGTGCTGTTTTTATTTTCTAATTTCTATTCAAAGGCACTTGTTTCGGGAATACCTATAGTATAATAATGTTATTATTATACTTTGGGTCAAAAATTTATTACAGAAACAAATGCCTATGTTTCTATTGGACTTTCAAACATGATTAACGTTATTTTTTGAAAATATTCTTTCTACATATTCTCTTTAAATCGTCCGTGTTGCAACCTCAAAAGCATGGGGACAATACTTTATTAAAACTGAAATCTACACTTCCTGAATATGCTTCGATATCAGTACGATTAATTATGACCCTGCTGTTCTTATCCTCAAACCTTTTCTGTAAAATCTTTATAAAACATTGATCTTCATTTGTGCCCCCCCTCCCCTTAAACAACCCTGACGGCCATTATGATAAAAAAAAATTGACCCGAAAATAATTTCATATTAATATGACTTTTGAAGCACTTTCAGTTTTTGAAAATACTGCCATGTATCCCCCCCCCCCCCCGGTCTCTCACATGGAATAGATTTAATTACCAAGCGGATATTTTGAACCATGTTTTAATAAATTTGATTAGACAATATGTCATGAAGCTTTAAAATAAGGAAAGATAAACGACCATATTTGATCAGAAAATCTCACGTGCTTTCTGCATAAGTGAGTTAAAATGTAAATAAGAAGAAAAAAACCTCTTTTCAATAAACAGTATGTCCATCTAAAACCATTAATTTAAAGTGCGCGGGACAAAATTAGCAAATCACAATTTCAACGTACTTTTCAGGACTCATCAATAAAAATCATAAAAATAATTTAAGTATCCTTTTACCTTCCGTTGAAGTATTTACGTCCTTAGACTTAGCTGATGGCCCTTTCATACTGACATTTTTTGCTTTAGCTGATATGTTGAAGGAATATTTTCGGTAAGGAAGAAGAAAAGTAACGTTTACTTTGTTGAAAGATGTACGTAATGGATCAGGAGTTGAAGAAATTTCTCCATTTACTTTGATTTCGTAAAACTCGATAATTCCATTTGGATGACATGGTGTTTCCCAACTCAGCTGAATACTCCGTGATGTAATCTTTCCAAAACCAATGTTACGGACAACACCAGGGACTGCAAATTATTAAAGGTGTATAAGGATTTTTTAGTAAAAGGAGTAAAATATAAATCCAGAGAAAGAAGGCATAATAATGATAATATTAATTATAATATACGTATATATCTGTGTGATTAAATTTATCTATCTTGTACTTTCTTAATCGATAGTTACCATAAGGCTCTGTCGTTACGGTTAAAGCACTACTATAATTCCCAAATCCTGCATATGTAGCCATCCTGACTGTGATGGTGTAATTCCAATAACTAAACAGATTGTCAAGTTTCACTGAGAATGTTTCTTGCAATGTGGAATTTATATTGACCAGTAATGTCTTTTTTTCATTTTCCAATCCTTCGGAAAGGCAATTATTTTGTGTTTTATACTGATATTCAACTTCAAGTAAATGAATGCGACCATTTTGTGGACATGGCGTGCTGAATTTCAATTCTATGGAATCCCTTGATTTATTAACTACCTGCAAATTTGTTGGCTCTGCTGGTTCTGAAATAAACATACATCCATATTAATAAAGACCTCTCTTTCGTTCTGCATCTATGACTGATATGAAACAATTTGCTTGATATTGATACACATGTATAACGGATTTTCCCGTTATTTCCCGACCATGACAAGGAGCCACGGCGGGTGTGAACGGTCAGCAGGGGATGCTCACTACTCCATGGCACCTGATTCCACCTCTGGTGTTTTGGAGGTCCGTGTTTGCTATATTCCTATTTTGATTGTTGTATGGACTTTGATGTTGAATACTATTAGTTACACAGTCAGTTAGTGACCTAACACAGATTCATACAGGGTGTGAAATGGAAATCCGTATTGGGTGAGGCGAAGCCGAGTCCCAATACAGATTTCCATTTCACACCCTGTATGAATCCGTATTAGGTCACTAACTGGCTATGTCACGAATTTATCCCGCTGAAGACCTTTTTCAATATTAAAAATATTTGTGCATATTATGAAGATATCAAGTTTTAATCCAATAACAAATAACATAAAATATCGTTACGGTAACAAGAAATTAACTAAACTACCTACACAACAGTTTTTAGCCGCCATTTATTTACAAAAGCAACGCTTTGAAGTAATCGCGTGCGCGATTTTCATATTACTCCTTGACGGTGACGTAATACGAAAAATTTCAGGACTTCATGTGATCAGCCTTTATCCAATCAGCAATCTACAAATTTGTCTGAAGCGGGATAATATTCGTTATCTCCATATCCATCCATTAACAACTGTTACTTCTCTATAAGTCGACTCCATATATGCCATTTAATTTCAAATAACTTTTGATCTTAGAATACTTCTCGCTATTTCCATATGTTTCATAAGTGAACATATGTTTTTATAAATCTTTTCAAGTCTCACTATTGATTCAATTCTTAAAAATAAAAAAAAAATTGTATAATTAAATTGCATTATCAAAAGAATAGGTGTAAGAAAACTTACTGTCCTCAGATGTCCTTTTTTTAATTTTTGAAGAATTTCCAGGCCCTTTGATTGTGTATGCAGTCACCACAAATTCATATTCAGTGAAATATTCTAAATTAGAAACGTTTACTGAAAAACTTGTACTTTCTTTTTCTAAGAAAGTAATATTTTTTTTATCGTTGCAGTCAAGAGATTGAGGAAAATTATGTGACTCGTGCTCTGCCTGTAACGAAAATATATTTGTTTTATATCAAAATACACGTTTATGGTGTTAAAATCGAGGAAAAATGCTTTATAAATACTTTATTAATGCTTTTGGAACGGTCGTTTCATTTTATATCTTAAAGTGAAGTGGTAGCAAAAATACTTTTGAGTCAAATTACGCATTTTAACGCCTTCCAATGACTTAATTACAAAATGAAAAGAGACATATTAGTTACATGTATGTCCTCTTGTTTCCCTTCCTTGCAATCTTGATTAATGATTTATTAAATTAATGTCATATAACGAAGATAAAATATACTAAACCATCAATTTTGAGGATGGGTAAGTCGCCATCCCTCAATCATAATCATTGTGTAATATTTTACAGAATATTTTTCTCACGTATTCCATCCCTTTTAGAATCAAATAGTTGTCCCTTACTTTTAAAGAAGTTACAGTGTCTGGATGTTTTTTAATACAGTTTAAACATCTCATCATAATTTTCTGAACACAAGTAGATTCCCGTTGAACGACAACTGCGTATTGTAAAATTATCCCATTCGGTATCAATGGTTTTCCCCAGGAAACTTGAATTGTCGTTGAAGAAATGTTCTGAGCCTCAAGCCCTGTAACCTCACTTGGAACTAGAAAAAAGTAAAATAAAATGACTTAGTACCATTTATTTTATTACTCTTATATTCTTAGCATATCATTCGGAAACTAGTCGATTGAATGAAGTATGATAGTATAACTAAGCTGTTTGTGTAGAAAAACTTTATAAGAATTATAAAAGCAATTCATAATCAAGTTTTGTAACACGTAGGTAATTGGTTAATTTATCATCAAATTCAAAAGAAAACAAAACAGGGTTATCCAATTTTGAGTTTTATGACCAACGTATACGAAAGTTTTGCCTCTCATTGTCCATTCCTTCTGCCTTCGTACAGAGGACACTGAGAAAGCAACCAGGAAATTCAACTACCCTAGACCTCACCCCAACAAACATTTTGATATACCTTCGTTCAACACAGAATATTATGAGCTGAAAACATATGTAATATTTTGATTATTTCTAGGTAAATGTATGACTTTTATATAAAAACATTTATAAAAAATGTACATGTATAATGTTTAAAAGCCCAAAACATTTACATACCTGACTCAACAGTATAAATGGGAAGAGATGTAGCATCACCTTCACCAGCGTTATTTACAGCGGCAATGGAAACATTGTAAAATGTACCTGAAATATCAAAGAAAGTGTCGGGATGAAAAAAATACTAAGTCTAATACCAAGTATAGCAAATCTTATAGTAGACCTGTCTACTTGCCTCTACCTGTCTCTATTTGTTACCAACATTATTAATGCAAACTAAAGAAATCAATTGTGCTTTAGAACTATTAACTAGCCATTTCATTCCCTTTCATATTTATTTCTATTTTAAAATTATAAGACATCTTGTCTTAGTTTTATTCAGTTAATTAAGTCTAAACGACCATTAAAACAATGAAAGTACATTTTGTAAAGTGTAAAGAACAAGTTGACTGAAAATCATCGAAATCAGTGGATTAAAATAAGATTCATGCAATCTGTTATGTTGAAGAGATTGAAGTTTGACCCATTTATGGACACTTTAAGGCTGCATTTTTAGGAAAGAGAATACTTTCAGATCTAAAGGAAACATTAAAATCAAAATAATAGAGATGTGTCCATGAAATCCATTACTATCAATAATTATTATGCTTCCTGTCAGTTTCTCCCTACATAACCCATACCCTCGCATAGTGGTCTAAGGATTTATATAGCGTAAGCATACTATGCAGAACTAGTGCACGCCTTTATTTGCTGAATAAAATTCTTCAGTGCATACGCCGGGGATCGAACTCACGACCATGAGATTGTCAGTCCGATGCCTTATCGATTACGCCACAGAGACGATCACTAATTGGTAGAATTTTATTAAATATATAAACTTAATTTTTACAATTGACACAAGAAGAAGAAAATAGACAAATATTATTTGAAAACAGTTATATTATTCTAAGGAACCTTAGATTAATGTGTACAACAAAGTTTCAAACTATTATATAATTATATCCCCTGAAATTGACCGACCAGAAATATATACTTTTTGTTTCCTTTATTTAATAAAAAAAGAGCAGGATTTAGAATTAAGAGAATTCAATCAGATCATTTCACCATCATAGTGCAACTCTGGAGGAAAATCTGTTTTCTTATTTTAAAAAGATATATAAATGGCAAAATGAATAATTTTACGGTCATAAATAATTCAAAACATCTTCAGAACAATTAGAAATAGATTCTTTCTCACCTGGTTTTAATTCTTTAAATGTGTAGGAAAAGTTTGTTGAATCTATGCTGATTTTTTGGGGGTGACTCGTCTCATTTATTATAGTAAGTGCATATTGAATAACTTCACCAAACGGGCATTTCGGTTCTTTCCATTCTACAGTTAAGTTTCTTAATACTATATCTTTCACGGAGAAATCGGTCACACTCCCAGGAACTAAAAGAAGACGCATTGATACATGTAATACAATTGAAGAAAAATCAATCAAAATGCAATAAAGTAGTAAGATTTATAAATAATTTTTTTTAAAAGGAAAGGGCTATATTTTTAAGCGTTATAAATCATTTGGAAATCATAACTTTTTAAAGACTTTTGTTCAAACCAAAGCTTAAATGAGCTATGGATAGACATTATGCCTTTTTGGGGGCAGTTTAAAGGTAAATACATTTTTGAGTATGATGTTAAAATTCCGTTGGTATTATTTCAGGAAATGCTTTAAAATTGCCATTACGTGTACATTTAAATGTAGTTATTTATTTACTTGTAATTATAATGATGCTTACACATCATTCTGATAGATTTTCAATGGTAAAATATATTACCAATTTCAGATGTCCTTATTTGTACTTTTAATGGCTCGCTTAATTTGCTTCCCGATTCTGCGGCCACAGTAAAATTACAATATGTTCCTGGTATAACCCCTGTCACATTGGCAAAAGAGTCGTCAAAATGGTAAAGTACTTGAGGGTCACAGATTCCACAAGGAGAAGCCACACATGAACATACGATTTCAAAGGTGTAATTCTCCACATTGCCATTTTTACGTTTCCAGTCGACGATAACATAGGTACTTTGCGGTGCTATTTCTACATTTGATTCTTCACCCGGTTTAGCTGGAACTGAAATTTGACAAAAGAAAGTTTTTCTCTTGTAAACTTGCTCATTTCGACAGTACATCATTTATTTTGGATCTTTAACCCAAAATAACATCAACTGATTTGTGCACACTTTAGTAAAATTGATGTTTACGTAAATTAACATCAATGCTAGAAACACTTAAAAATTGAGTTTTATCAATAATTCATGCTAGCTTATACAGCTTAACCCATTTTAAAACTCACATGGTTCTTCACACAAAAAAAGGTAACATTGTTACTATAAAAATTGTGAAAAGAGACAACAAAATATATTTTGAAAGTGATTTCTAATTTCTTTTAAGTTTATTTAACTAACTTAATAATTATTGATAGGATATTGATATACTCTTTGCAGATGGATTGTAATACTAGTAGTAGTTCTCAAATGGTTTTTCGTGGTTTCTTGTAAAAAATTGCCATCTTTAATCTGCTCTGTTTTGCAGTGCAAATCATGTAAGTGTTGCATTTCTGTACAATAACATGACTCTATAAAGCGCAAGATGATTTAAGTATTTCTCATTTCTTTGACTGATCTTCATGTTAAAAAGTTGGCATTTTGGTAGTAACTTTCTGAATCTAGCATCATGCCATGTTCATCGAACCGCAAACCGCAAGTTTCAGACCGTAAATGTAAAAAAATGTTCTTTACGATTGTTACAATTTCTTCTTTTAAGAGATGAACAATACTTTTTGTCCTTTTTTTGGCATGGATTCTTTATGCAGCATTGTTATTTTACGGCGTGGTATTTCGACAGAACCACGACAATTATAGAAAATGTGCAAAGTGCATCGAAAAGTACTCAGCTTTAAAATGTCAATTTGAAAATTTCAACTAAATAGTATCAAAGAAAGCTGGATTACTTTAATTTTTAAATACCTATGGTGAAAGCATACAGATGTAACATCATATTATTATCAATGAAGTCCCATTTAAAACATCGACTTTAAAACTTCATGTTAACTAATATAAAGTATATGTACCTCAGAAAGTGCGTTGAGCTCTATGTAGTCCGTGCTTAACGAGGTCCGATCTACTTGATCTACGCATACGCTTTATTTAAGGAATGTTTTTTAGTTTTGTGTGAGTTATTGGTGTGTGAATCACACAGACTTGTCACGTAGGCATATAAAATATGCCTACGTGCACGTCTGTGTGATTCACACACCAATAATTCACACTAAACTGAAAAACATTCCTTATATTTACATTTAACATGTTTGGAAGCAAATAAATTATGCTAAATATTTGAATTTCTCGCTGCCCTATATCGTTGCATTTTTACTAACGTCGCTGCAGTCTCATTGTGACGTCACGTTAACACACGTTTCTCCGTGTATATTTCTACGCGTGAGTATACTTAAAAAATGAATTTAATTTTTGAAGATTCATGAGGTTATGAACTACGACGCTTCACGACGGCATATTTCATTTAAATTTTAAACTTGCCGGCGTGAAGCGTTGTAGTTCATATACCTCATGAATCTTCAAAAAATTAAATTCATCTCTTATATTTACATTATTTTGCTGATGACTTGCCATAAATTTACGCCGTTCAACTGTCATTTTTAAAACAAAACAGTCTGCACTATATTTTTTTTTTACTTTTCAACGTCAAGAGCGGTATTATGACGTAACAATGGAGATGTTCATGCTTATTCGTGGTACATACCTAATGTAGTTCATGAGAAAATATACTGCATTTTATTTTGTAAAGAATCATAGGAGAAATTTATTGGAAATGTAAATATAAAAAATGGTTTTCAAATCAATATCACAGTTGGCTTACTAGAAAAACACAGCGAATGTAAAAATTTCTTGGTACAGACTAATTAATCTTATCTTGTTTTATTTCAATTTTTGGGTTAGAAAAATACACTACAACCAAAAAGTATACGATTTAAGTCTTTCTCCTCGAACGTGTTGAAGTGTTTATACTCACTATTTCTTATTGAGTATGGAGAAAAATTATTTAATAATGTAAGAATTATTTAAGTTCTAGAAACCAATACAGTATTACAATAGTTTGTTGATGTTATGTAAACCCATTGCGACTTATAAAATATCTAGTTGGATATTTTTGATCTTGAATACGGTTCGTTATCTCTATGTGTTTCATGACTAATTTTTTTTGCATTTTCGGTTTAATATTTAAAAGATTTGGTATGATTTCATGCCCAAATGTGTAACTCTTTTTTAAGAAACAACAGGGTCCTATCAGTACTTTTTCAGGGTACAGATAAATGTGTACATTTAGTTTTTTAAACAGAAAAAGTTTATTCCCTGATTAGCGTTAAACTTTTCACTAACATTGAATTTTTCTATTCATAGACGTCACATAATGATGTAGCACCAGAGTGCTCTAAACTCTGAATATAATCCTGCTGGAGAAAATGTGGTATTTTTATCATAGACATAAATACAAATGAAATAAAAAATCTGGCTGGAAAATAATTATCATGACTTCTGATGCAATTTAAGCTGTCGGGTAGCCTTTTATGTTTATCTTTTATGTTCTTAGAGGGCTGAACAGGTCTAGAGATATTAACACAAAATGTAGGTGAAAGAAAATTAATTAATTGATTGATTGTTGTTTAACGTCCTTGTCGAGATTTTTTTTTTATATTTTTCTACAAAAGAACAAAAAAAAAAAAAAAAAAAACCCAACAAATAACAGTTGCTCAGGATTTTGCTTTACCCTGAGAAAAGTACATGTAGGTGGGGGGCATCATTTATTGTTGACATCTGGTGAATAATTACATGTCAACAGATGGAATTTGCAACCTGGCATGGCAGGGACACTGTGTATGCAATAGCCATCTTGATTAATCCAATTAGCTAATTAGCCAATAAGATTGAAGGAACCTATACTGAAATCTTATCTTGGTCAGAGGTATCTCAATTATTCACTTTTTTGTTTTAAGGGGGGACCTATGTCGTTCTACGTCAAAGCAGCGTTATGTGACGTCACAATAGCGACGTTAGTTTTTACCTGTTGACTTTTGCAACTGTGATATAGGCATAACATTGTTATTAATCAATAACGTATACAATTTACAAAAAGAAAATTTATTCATCAATTTAAATAGCAGTTTTATTTGATTTATGGAGTTTGTTAATATTAGAATTCTTTTCCTTTGGTTGATAATTCATAGCAATTTCACTTGTGAAGATACACCTCGATGATATGCTGATATATATATAAGTGCAAATAGATACGATAAATTCAGCAAAGAAAGCGGCTTAAATCATGGAAATATGTATAATTTTATGTTTACCATTAATTGTATTTTCTGGATAAAACTAAGAAAAAAATAAAGAAATGTACTTATTCCTATATTTGCCTATTAATTTATAGTACATGTAGATTTAATAAAGTCATTCCTAGGTTCTAATAGGTGTTGGTTACGACGGGGAAATGGGGGGGGGGACAGAATGATTGGAATGAAGAAGAAAAGAATTAATCTGTTTAAATTGTTTCTTATCAAAACAAAATACTCGTTTTTCGCAAATAGTTTTATATTTAGATGTTTGTTAGTGCTTACTTTCCTTTTTTTAGTGCAGAAAGGTCAATATTTATGACACAAGAGCACGAAAATAAAAGAAAACGTCATATTTCTCTTTAATTTTATCATAAAGGTATACTTTTTTCTTTGTTAAAATAAAGAGATGGATCATTTCGTTCCAAAAATATGAATTTCAACATTTTCACACAAAGACTTTTTAAGATATTACCTGTTATGCATGTCGGAATTGTAAAAAATACGACAAGAAAAACGGGGTGATACTTACAATGTGCCCCATTATAATTTTTCATGCGAGATGAATGGCAATGAATTTGCCTTCATTTTTAAGATACAAGTCATATAAATTAAATACCTGTTGATTTTTAATGTGATTTGACATTTTTGTTTCTTTTTAGCGCATATTTTGGGTAGAACAATAATGTCTGAAAATAATCTATTTTTAGCATTTCACACTGTTTTTGCACGTGCTCCTGTGTAAAAATAAGCATATAAAGGTACTATTTTTAATACCTAAAAATTAAGAACAAGTGGTCAGGAAAAAAATTTCAAAGTTTTGAAAATTTCACACAAAGACTTTTTGGACATAGGTCCCCCCTTAAGAGCTGCTGGACGCACCTAAATCTTAACAAGAATTCAATTTACCCACCCATCCTCACCCTAAAAATTTATTTATATAAAATCGGTTGTCATAAATTACAAACAAACTGTACCTTTTTGTTTCTGTCTTGTACATTTATTATTACTGTATATTATTACTTTATTTTTCCTTGACAAAACTGTACCTTTTTGTTTCTGTCTTGTACATTTATTATTACTGTATATTATTACTTTATTTTTCCTTGACACAACTTAAATATAATATTCTAGTTTTAACCTGTGTCTCAAATTGTAATTTCATCATTCAACCCGTGTTTCAAATTACAATTGTTTCACATTATTTTTTACTTATGTTATAATGTTAGTACATGTATTTCTGTTGTTGGGCGGTTTTTTAACCCCACCTTTGTAAATTTATTGTCATTTATTCAATTATTTTTGGTTAATCAATGTTTGACATTAATTTCATCATTTGATCAAATATATTTTATGATAAATTGAATAAATGACCTTTCTCACAAACAGAAGTTGTTCTGTCTTTCATTGCAAATGAACTCAGACTCACTGGAGAACATAACTGGTTGTTTCATGTTGACAAATAAATGGTATTTTATGAAAACATGATATGGAATGAAATTTAAAGTTTTAAAGTTATTGGAAAAATTTGGGTGACAAAAAAGTTCTTTTTAGAAAGAAACTGATATATATCTCAAATTAAAATGTCAATTTTCATAAGTACTAGTACTTAATAAGCACGTAAGTATTTTCTTACTTGTATATTCCTTAATTACACAACTTCTCCGACTCTTCATATCGCCTATTCCAACTGAAGAAATATTGAAAGTATACTGTGTTCCAGGAGAAAGATTTGTTAAATTACGGACATATTTCTTGCTGCTGTCGATTGAAAGATGTCCTGGTCCAGTAACATTCAAAGCATAACGAAGAGCTCCACTTGATTGCACATTTGATAGATCTATTATCATTTGCTGAGTTGTAATATAAGAAATAATCACACGTTGGCAGTCTGGATTATTAGGTCCTAAAATTTAAAAGAAATGCACAAAAATACATCAGTAGCTGATTAATAAACAACAACAACTTAAGATGTAAAATTAGATTTCATTTAAGGATGACGTTAATTCAGATGACAATAAAATCACTGAGAAGAATAAAAAAACCACCTAATAGACACTGTACACTTTTAAATCTTGTGTTTAATTTTAATTACAAATAAATACTTTTCACATTATGACAAAAATGTTCTTTACTGACGAAATATTACAAACAACAAAACACTTTAAAGAAATACAATAAGAAATGGAATAACGTTGCTTCATATTAATAAACGATTACAATTTAAACCAGAAATTTATCTATTATTACAGAATGTCCTCTGTCAGATTTCTTATTTTTTAAAAATTTAATCTAATATCTAAAAAATCGGAATGAAAAGAACTCTAAATTATTCATACCATCAGTTTACTTTGGTTGACCTTATTTTAATAGTTTAAATATTATCTGAGGTCAAAGATCAAATTATTGAGATATGTTGTAGGAAATCCTTTTATATTATTTGAATTTCTTTATTGCATGGCATTCTATTATTTGAAATAATTCATGGGCTTTAACACACATAAATCTGCAAAATGATGTTTAAAAAAATGAAACCTTTACTTTGAAATTGATATTGCAAGAAATAAAATTTTGTGACATATTGATTTAAGATATTGTACTCTATAAAATTTTGTATCGGACTTCTAAAATCTGAGTAAACGTCATTCTCAAGAAACACTTACTTGTTACCGACGAAAATGGACATGATCTTTTACTCAGTTCGCCATATCTGCTACGAGAAACTACAGTAAAAGTATAATTACTTCCAGGTTTTAAATCGGTAAATGTTACGTTAAAACCTTCCGCCGACTCCACCAAATCATGTGTCATTGTTATATTAAAACTGGAGGCTCCGTCCGCATGAAAACTATCTCCAAAAATGGTTATGCTTTCATTTGTAGCTAATGTAACTACATTTGAACAATTGGGACTCATTGGTTCTGAAACAAAATTATTCCTTTTCTTAGATAATAAATACATATGACATGAATACGAAAATAAAAGTTTTCTTCGAAATATAACTAGTTAAAATATTGCAATCAAGGTTTAATTTCCTTATAAAGTGTTTAGAAAGAGACAGCATTCAAAACACCATAATACAGACTTGAGTGGGTCGGGGGATGTCAAAAGATTAAAGTACACATTCTATTTTGACGTCACAAAGGTTTAACACCGAGCAAGGAGAATGTCATAAGTGAAAAACAAAATTCACACCCTGTGTGACCTATTCATGGCACTAAGGGCCATTGTCATTGTACAGTGAGGGTTCTTTATTATGCCAACGAAAACGATGATATGGGGTCTTTGAAAGACACGCAGCTATCACTTCAATGTGCCGAGCATTTGGCCAATCACTGAGCGACCGTTCTAACGATTTACCTTGGTGGTTTCTTACAAAATTTGCTGACTAATATAAATGCTATAATTTTCTTAATAATGACGCAACATTATTTCGATATTAGGAAGAATATGCAGATAACGAACAGTTTTCAATATCAAAGTTCATAAAACAATACAAAATAGGAGCAGAGGAAACACGGACCTCCAATACTTCAGAGTTGCGATCAGGTGCCATGGAGGAGTTAGCATTCCTTACAGACTAGTCACACCTGCCGTGTGCCCCTTGTCATGATCAGGAAATAACGGGAAAATCCGTTGTCAATTCAGTGAATAGATAATGGACTAACAATTAGTATGAAAACGTCAGTCAGCATTTGACTCAATGATAAATTGTATTTGCCAAAGAGGTCATGTATCGACCATAGAACTTCTCATGAACCACTGGATTATAAAAGCTGAAACTAATGAGGAAGCATTCTTGGGCAGTGTGAAATTCATTTTGGTTTTTTGGAATATTAAAAATATAATCAAAAATATTAAAATATTAAAAATATTCAAAACTGACATAATAATAATAATAATACGAATTTCTTCCTAATTCAAAGATCAGACCTTTATATAAATAAAAAAATTACTTGTATGAACTTTGAAAGTTGCTGGTTTGGATTCTTTTCCATTTTCGCCAATGGTATTAACTGTTATGTCAACTTCACTTCCTGGTTGCACATAGAAGACAAAAGTAGGTAAGGAGGGTTTAATGGTCGTAACACCGTTTTTCCAATCAAAACGAATCTTCGTCACCCCATCCGAGAAACATTCCCTGGGATAAATTTTTATATTTGTTTCAGTTGCTACAAACACGTTTTGGCTACAGTTTACCTCGTCCATTTCTAAAAAAAATTGTTATTTTTTGTTATTCTTGACATGGAAACATATGCATTGATCCATAAGAGGCAAGATATGCATTTATATTTAAAATCATCAGGATAGAAAAATATGAAAAATATGTTTTAGTGGACGCTGATTTTAAGTAAAATGTATATGTTGGTAGGCAAACTAGTTTCAAAATGCTAGTAAAGTATTTTTTGCACCTTATATTTTCAATTGATAAACAAACATAAAAATTATGCTAAAGTAAGAACCACAAGTGATAATAATCTTTACATAATTATCAATATGTAAAAAAAAAGTTTTTACTGAAATTGAATTATGTAAAGTGGTTTTCCATAAACAATTCAAGGTCTCATGTAAACAAAAACATTACATTACCTGTCGCAATAGAATAATTACAAGCTTCCATTGTCCACAGGTTATCCATACCCTCGGCGTACATGGATATTGTATAATTTCTTCCAGGATGAAGATAACTTGATAAATCGTATTCATTTTTTGTATTTCTTACTAAAGTAACATTTTCAGTTTTATTGGATGTTGTTAAAAGAAATAACAAGTTCCTAATTGAAGCTGTGATAGATGGATTTAATATAAATGTATTATCCTTCACCGTACCATAGGAACAGTTGATGTAAGGTCCTGCAAATAGACAGTTTCAATGCACAAATTAAGTACCATTTAGTTCTTTAAAAAAATTCACAAATCTAGTATAAAAACTATGGGTCTTACAATTGATATGCAGTATATCAGTCAATATACAACGAAATGAAAGTTTATTTACTAACAAGATACATTCCTACTAATGCGTTCTGTTAAAGATAAAACAGGAGTTCGGTGTGGATCTGTAGAGAAAAGTTATATGACGTTTCAGTTTTCACCACTGTATAATATTAGTAAAAAATGTACTTCAATCTTTCTTAAAGTCATCAAAACTTCAATAAGTATTCATTTAATGACATTTTTCTGCAGATATGTATTCAATTTCTGTAAGATAAACATACTTTGACTTTTGCCTTAGAAAAACAATACATGACCAGCTGAATGAGTTGATTTGCGCTATAGATAATAGCGTATACTACAAGAATTTTACGATAGTAAAAAACAAAAAACGAAAGGTGATTGGAAGGGAACGATGAACATTTTTGCCATGCATTTCGTAGATAAAAAGCAATATGTTCTTTCATTATTTCAATGCTCACATTTACAAACAATTCATTTTTTGTATTTAAACGTGGGTTTTAAGGTTATATGAATGTATTCCGTGTTAGTGTACTTTTTATATTGCAGCAAATGCATTCAAAAATAATTTAATTCTCAGTATAGTTCTATTTTTTGTTGAATTTTTACTTTTCAAACATGTATTTGGTCAGTTTTTGGTCAGTTTATGGACCTCTAAAAACTATGCTATTAGAGATGTGTGCATGCCGACGTGTCAAGTGAAACAATTCTACAAGGCTATATATAGCAGGTACAAGTGACCAAAAATTTTCAATTAAAAATGGCGGAATCGAAGAAATATGGCGGACAAAGGCGTACAGGAATGTAGTAAGCCGTACAAAGATGATAAACGATGGCTTTTTAAGAGTTCATGTCAGCTTTAAAGCCAGACTGTAAGGCGAATTTTGCCTGTATTTTGTTTGTTGTACTATCGGTGAATACAATTGTCAGGTAAATTTCCTGGCCAAAGGCACAAGTGATCAGGAATATTGTAACTTAAAAGCTTTGTTGTCCATTTATGTGCCTTTCAGATGCTGCCGTTCTCCTTATTCTTGAAGCGCTTGTGTTCTGAATGTGACACACACTAAATTTTATTTGTCCGTTTTCTAGTTAACAAGGTAACAACAAATTACAAACACAGTGGAATCTTTCTTAGTTTCTAAGCTTTGGATCTATTTTTCATATAAAAAAAATTTTCACTTGTGTTTTTTCTACTCCATGTAATCGAATGTGTAAACCTATAGGGATTAAGACAACGACTATTCGTATTTTGAGAACAGAAACATGTTAATGAACTTATGATAAATGGCATTGACTAGAATCCACTCTGAGTATGGAAGCGTAATTATATTTTCCCGTTAGAAAAAACAAACCTGGTGTTTGGATTAAGGACAGAGTAAGCTACAAAGACACTTATCTATCGTTAGAAATTGATACAGGAAAGCACACAGAACATAAGTAAACGTATGTAAATACTATATTTTCTTTTGAATTGAACCTTATCAAAGTTTGAATAATTGAATAATTGAATAATTATTACATTTAAAAAAAAATAAATTCCAGTGTTTTGCCCAAATCTTATTTACTTAAATTTGACCTGTTTGTTCCATATGTAAATATATATTATGTATATATATTGTACAGTATCATCTACGATCTACAGCACTGGTCTAAAGAAAATTTGGAGCGGAGCTTTTCAGAGTGAAGACAAGTTTTAAGGGATCATCATCTATCTAACATAAAACTTTCAGCAATTAAAACAAACTCTTTCAAAAAGAAGCTAATAATACTAAGATGTCGAACGCGGAAGGAAAGTTTGGCAAGATTGGACAACAATTTCGGTACCAGAAATATCTGTAGCCTGACAAACATATGACAAAGGTATAAATTCATTCCGCATGTAATTTCGATTATGTTATTCATGAATATTGTTTTTTTTTATTCATCATTCGGTTTTTAAAAAAGAAGAAAATAACTTATTCAGATGAAAAATATTCTAATTATTATCTCATATACAGTTGGTGATCGTGATTAAGATCAGCGAAATAGTGTAAGATGTCACACGCCGTAAGAAAGTATGGTAAGGTAGAACTAAATTTTTCTGAACCAGAATTGTCTGTGACCCGTTCAAGTTCTGCAACAAAATTGCTACATGTATGTAGCTTCATGTAATGAATGAAATGTTTTTAAGAAAATGAAAACAATCCCAACCCTTTGATTTTTGTTTTTCCGATAAGATCCTTTAAATTCTATTAATAAAAAAAATCTATCAAGCCCACACTATAATATTTGCAATGTGTACTTTATTTTAATGCTTACAAACATCCATTAATTCTTGAACGACTCTGAAATTCAACCAGTCATTCACTCTGAGAAAAATGTACCGGTCTAAGAAAACCATAAGTATAATAAATTCGCTCTCAACTACATTAGTCAAAATACTAGTCTCACATTTCCCTTTTTTGTAGAATTTGAAGAATTTTTTAAAATAAGGCCCTCCCCTAAATGTTGGTGCCACACAAGTTCATTCTGCATTGTCAGTGTAATCAAAACTAAATCTGATTTGTAGCCCTCCATTAAAATGTTTTTTAATTAATCTTTTTAACTGAAAAAATATTTTTTAAAAAATTTCCCACGTATTTTCTTAGAAAAATGCCAAAATTTGATAGACAACAGATATTCACAGGGATAATATCCACATTTCCACGAATATACGAAACCTTTAAGAACAAATAGTAGTCATATATGTTAACATGGTGAAATGAGAAGGATACATGAAACGTGCGGCGAAAACGTGAGAGGTAAGAGCAAGTGCCACTGAGATGTCAGCATCACCTGTGCTGAATATGAACGTTGTAACCCAGCAAAAAACTTTGATTTGTAAATCAAATTTGTTAAAAAATACTTACTAGTATATAACATGAATTGACAATCTTCTGAACTTTGTAAAAACTCTCCATTTTCCTGTTTTACTGCAGCATGAATT